AGAAAGTATCTTCATCAGTTCAATAAATAGCATGGTTGTGAAACAGTTCATCTTGGTGAATATTTAGTAGATGTGCATTTTTTGGAAAGGTTTTCTTTGAATTCCATGAGAGTCGCTACTCATATTGACCATCGAAGCGCTTGATAAATGACTTACACTTTTTGCTCTGGAGTAAGAAAGTAGGGTGTTCGATAGAAGAATGTGATGATCAAGTAGAGAATGGTCCATACGAACAGTTCTTTAAGGCACTGCTTCCAGACACTACCTTTCCAACGAAAAATTACACGGAAAAAATTGAGTGGCGATGCGGTAGCAACATCGAGATTATAAGAAATTGTCATGCTTTCGCATTTGAAAAACAAAACTATCAATTGCAGCACTTCAGTTTCTACAGTGTGTTCACGTCTTGTTGTAACTGAAAGCGCAGAAATAAGAAAATCATATACTGAAACGAAGCGAGCTGGCGAAAAGGTAAAGCATCAAGTTCAATCCTCTGATTTTTCAAAATAAAAAGGCTTGTGTAGATGTTCAATTGCGAACTGAAGTGATCACAAAAATAAAATTCCCATGATTAGCATTCAGCATGAAAACGTCACAGAAATGCAGCCAAAACATGTGATCCACGATTAGAATCAGCTTCAATGCCACTGATCAAGATTAGAAACGAACTGATTCTGACTAAACTCGATTATTTGATTAGGAATGCTAGTGCAATCGATAAGCTGCTGCGTTCACTAAAGACATAAACATTCAAGCGCATTAAAACGTCTCGTAATCAAAAGAACACAATTCAATAGACTCGCATCGAATTGTACGTTGGAATTTTATGTTTGATAGAAACCACCTTAAATGCTTGTTGTTGACTTTCTATCCGTCTCACCCCAAAAAAACAACGCTCACATGATTGTGCATTTCAAAAGTTTCTCTCTATTTCCACTTTATTCCACCCATTCAACAGTATAACTTTAATGTGATGACTATTTGATAAAAACGTTTCAATCTCAACAACACGGTTTGCACTTGCAATGCCCAATTTATGTTCTCGATCAATGACTTCATAACAAATGAATCATTAGCGAAAATGCTTAGAACTAGCCAGAACTCATTTCCGACCTCGCTGACAGCCGGCCGCATTTTATTAACACATAAATGAATTCCATTACTTACGCTTCGAAAAGCTATAATTACTTCATTGTAGAAATACTTCTTAATCGGCAAAGCTTTCTTATAACACCATCGAACAAGTATATATAAACCTCAAAACACCTTTCGTCGTGATAGCATTCACTGCACGCTCATGTTCTATCATTATGAGTTGATGTATAGCCATTTGTTGTCGAAGATTTTAGACGAGGTTTTAAATCCTTTGGAAAGTGGCGTTTTATCGTTAAGCAATTATCGCACTGATGACCGAGTGTCTCCTAAAAGTACTTGCTCTTTCTTAGTTTGATTTCAATCATTTCAGTTCACATCAACCAACTGAATCATTTATTTATGTATCAAGGACCTATAACTTACCGTTCTTGCAGGTCACCTACGAAAAACGCACATCGCAACGGAAAGGTAGTATGAGCGATTCGGTGAATTGCACTGAGGAAATCGTCTCGAATCCAGTCAACAGATCAAAAGGAGTAAAACTTGTATGCGACCGAGAGACGAATATGAGCGTACCGGTGAGATCTGTTGCAGTCACCACAAGGTACCACAATTTGCAGTGCCATCCTCGGACCTTACGATTAGCAGCTTCTCAGAACGAATCCAAGTTTGCCTGTTACAGAACTTAGCAAACCCAGCTACCTCCATGCGTGCCTTTTGGCAGATATCTACTGTCTTTTATTGCTTTTCCGATAGTTTAAGCTACCTGAAGACGATATCCTCCAGACTGTGATATTTTCGTTCCAACTGAATTGTTCCATTCCAGTTCTGTTCAAAAGAATAGAACAGAATAACTGCATTAGAAAAGACGTACGGAATAGGACAAAACAGAACAGCTCTTAAAAACCGAGAGTGGGGAACAAAATAGTTGAAACAGCAGAACAGAATGGAACAGTTTGTCAAAAGTTTGAAACAACAAGAAAACACTCCATCCAAAATATGGACGATCGTAATTTTGCGTTGTTGCTCTGTGATAGAGCAAATGTTGAAGAATGGTTCAAACGGTAAATATGTGTTTCTTGAATATGACTCAGCGAATATACAGCACGGTTATGTTCTGATTGAAAACTGTCAATTTAAAATCCTATACATAACAAGCAGGAGGCAAAAGGTTTTGCATTAGAGCTACATAATGGCCAGGGCCGATTTTTTGGAATTTTGTTTTGGTTGAAGCATATGCGATCAGTAGCATGTTTTGAGTATACGGCTGAATCACTTAGACTGAGCGATGTTCACTCTCTCAGTTAAAAATTAAGTTTTAGTGTGTTCCTAATTTTGCGCTGAAATCGAAAAATGTTGGTGTTCATTTATTAAGAGTTTGCATTTTGATGTATAACGATTTGATTGCCAAATTGGTGTGTTATTTGTTGATTCAGAGAGGTCGATCAGGTGGATGGGTCAAGTGAATATGAATATCAATCACTTTCGAGCGATGATATTCTCCGAGAGATGAAAAATGAGAAATTGAAAATTTTCCTACAGAACGCTTCCGCTGAGTGAGTATT